TTATTCAAGAATAACGTATAACGATTGTATTAAATGAAATTTTATTCGTTATTCTTCAATAAGTCAATCCCTCCAGGTGATAATTAAAATTTTGCAATCTTCACGTATGATCAATACAAATGTATTGAAATACAAAACGGTGATATAATAACGTCTATACAAATAAATATAATATAAAAATATAAGATAACGTGAAGTGTTCAAATAAATGTTAACATAAGTCGTAAATCTGGAACGTAGCATAGGAATTAAATTTTTAAGGTGTTCAATAATTACTAAAACATGGAAGACAGCAAGCTTCGTATCTTAAAATTATCGTATATTATATGAAAATTACATCCTTGTAGCACATTGTTATTCGATAAATAATTAATGTAAATTCGTAGAAACTGTAATATAAATATTTCATAACATAAATCGGTAGTATCCTTCGAGTATATACGATTTTACGAATGATTTACAAACGGAAGTAAGTTGAGAGTTAACGAAACTAATACATATAAAATTGTAACTTCACTTCTGAACCCCTTAAATTACTTGTTTATCGATCGACGTGTAATAATTTCTCTTTGGTACTGTTTATACGCTTTCTTAGTAGTGTATAGTGCTGCGTGCGAATAAATAATCACTCTTGCAACGTTGAAACCTTAAAAAAGACAGTCGTAATTGCACGTAGATGATACAAACTGTCTCGTGTCGTGTCGTGTCGAAACGTTCTGATAATTTACAATAATTTAAATAATATACTCGTGGTGTTACCAGAACGAAAAATAAAAATTAATCTCTTTGGCAAAGTTAATTTTTAAAGTTAAATAATTTTTTAACGAAACGTAGAAGTATTTAAACTGTGTTAAATTATAAGACCTTTGATAATAAATAAAAATACACGATCAAGGTCTCCGATATTAGTGTTAAATTAGAAATTCGTCCAACAACTTGGACACTCGCAGTGACGTACGAATATCGAAACATCGATGCCAATATACACCACTAACGTATCGTACACATGTTAATACTTAAGATTTATTTATAAAAACAAAATGCTCACTGAATATCTGGTGCGGTACGTAATCTACAAACGATATTAACCCATTCACTCTCGAAACATCGATATATCATAATATTTCATTGAATACATTTACGTCATTTTCACTTTGTTGAGCCTGCACCGGTGAGACGTATCGGACCCACTGCAAATTATTATGAATCAAGTGTACGTACCCCACACGTGGTTCAATTTAGTTTACAAAAAGGTCGTAAAAATGACCAAATGAAACACTCACTTGGAGAAACTCTGGCGATTTGCTGGAATCGCAAAATACCGAGGAAGTTGAGTCCCAAAAAGTGGTTATTGTAAATGAAATATATCTAAATATGTATATATCAATTATGACGAAACGGGACCAAAATGAATAGTTGAAGAAAACGAAAAATTAAAAATAGAGGTCTTATGGTTAATTCATTTTTGATCAAGCAAATTGAATTCTTTATTTCAAATAGATTTTCTTTTCTTTTTACTTCACTTGCAGTAAAATAGGTAAAATATACGCTATATTGCGTATGTATTTTCATACGCATGTATATTCATGTTACAAAATTTTCTGAAAACTGTTGCAACAGTACCGAATCTTAATTTTCTATTTCCTAAAGGCATAGTAATGAGGGCTCAATTTAGAAATCATTACAATATCGATTAAACGAGTAATGAAACTAACCGCTTTGACCTTCGCGAGAAAAGTGAGAATAAAAGAAAGTGTTCATGTAGCTAGTGAAATTAAAATAAAAAAAGGGTTAGGTTTTGTGGTGACGAAAGGAAGGGCACGGGGTGGCGCAAAAAAGTACAAGAGTAAGGAAGAAAGAACTGGAGAACTAGCGTTCTTCCGGCAATTAGAATTTTCCAGGAGGCCAGCGGGACTCGCTACAATTCCGCACGAGTGCCTTAATTAAGCCGGACCAATTAAAAACACGGCCACGTCGGATTATTCCACCGCGGGATTTAATCAACAGAATGTCGCGACTCTCCTTCACGCTTCTCGAAGACGTCGAATTAATTGACTGGCTCACTGACAGCGCACCCTCGAGGTTTGCCATTTCTCGCCCTTGAGGAGACAGTCTGGTTATTTCGGATCGAACGTTATTAATTAGGCGCGTGCAACATGAATTAATCCAATTTCACGTTTAATTTTAATGGGACACTGGGTTTCCTTGAACTTGAGAATCAATCGTTAGATTTTGTTTGCAGTTTCTGGAAGACTCGACTCTTTAAGTATTCTGTTCTAAAGATAGTGTTGAGATTTGAAAAAGTTGGTAATGTTTCCTCATTTGTTCTACGTTCCGTGGTAATAAATTTTATATGAATGATGAATCGTGAAGCTTCATTTTAATACTTCATGTGAATAATAATCAGAATTTACAAAAAGTAAATCAGGCAACCCTGTCGATTTACGGTCCTTTAAATAAAATTAAGAATTGAATAGGAAAAGATTGAATGGTTTAACAAGAACCAACGTCACATGCTTCTGTTATCCATTTTATGAGGTGCAATCATAAGCATAGCTAGTGTGGTTACACTAATTTAATTTAGTCGCGTAATTCTTCAAATAAAACAACTTTTTCCTCGCTTCGTTAGTTGACTGTTAATATAAGTTAACATTTGGCAGTGCTCATTTGGCGTTCTTCGTTACTTTCATTCCTAATTAATTTCTGTGAGAACAGAACAATCATCACGTTCCTGAGCAAACAAACGTTTGATCGTGTTTCAATGGTATACCGCGCTCTTTCAATGAGTCACTCAATTACTGGAATATTAAATAAACAAACAAACCATTAAGCACTAAATATAATGCTTCCTCGTTATTTGCGATAGTGTCCAGGGTGAGTAGGTGCAAAATTACAGCTTACATAAGAAGTAATGTACAAATCGGCAGCATTAATATTATCATCTATTACGATCTACGTATTAATACAAAAAGTGAAGAAAGTATAGATCATGCGCGAGAACTGATGGCACTGAAGTATGTCCACGCAGCGTAAATGAAATTCATTCACCTCGCAATCGCATGAATTCAATTAAAAGTAGGCTACGCTACGAAGTAACGAATAAATTCACGACACCGTTGGCCGATTAACCATACAAAATGGAGAGCTTTTCGTTCTTACACATGATCGTCGGGACATCGGTGAAATTCTTATGAAAGAGTGTTGTTGTCCCGTCGCGCAACACAGTAACGTAAAAAATATTAAACGTAAGTGAGTCTCGGAATTAGAGCTATTATCGGAACGTACGTGGAATCGATCCCAGGTACTTTCTACCTTAAATTTAACCCACGAACAATCAGACTGGACATTACTGTTAACGGCTAACGATCGTGATCGACGAACCGAGCACGCCCAATGGCGCTGCACGAAGCTATAATGATTGCCTTTGAGCAGGGCTGGGCAGAATTCTTTTCTGGATAGAAATAACGAGTAAAAGATAAATTATGTTTATTGGAATGGAAATTAGAGTTTGAATTGTGAAAGAAAATATTTTATGATGAATTAATAAAAGTGGTAAAATTTGGTTTACGAATTTTTCATAAGATAGTTACAAATACATATATTGCAAATTTATGTATGTCTTCGACGTACTAGATGATAAAGAACTATTAGTAATAAAGTTTCGTTGCTTGATGTTGTTAGATAATTCACAACATTTTTGCAGATAAAAAATTAATTGTTGAATGGAATAAATCACTGTAGGTTGTATTTATTTTGCAGAATAATAATCCTGCTCATCCCTGAACAGTCGGTGCGAATGTTGTAGTAGTGAAATTCAATAATCGTCGAATAAATATTATAGTGACAAGCAGATATTTACTTACAGTTTCAATTTGCAAATTTTAGTTACAGAATATTTAAACCTTCATTTATAAATGAGAATTTCAAATTCTACGAAGTCGAACAATTTGTTTACTTTTGCTACGAATATGTCAGCATATCGAGGAAAAACAATCTTCTCCAGAACAATTCTTAAACAAACGGAGTTTGCGAAGCCAAATTGATAATTGCTTCTGATAATCTAAAACGTCTGAATGGCTTCGTTAACATTTGACTTGACGCATATTTAGATCCTAAATAGGATCGTCGTCCATTTTCGATCACGATCGATTACAGAAGACGCTCGTGAAATCGATTCGATGGCACAGAGAGTAATTCTCGACTACGGACCGTTTTTCGATGACGTTACACTCTCGATACAGATGCACACTCTCAATCACTCTGTCTCTTTTTCTTCGTTCCCTTAACAGTTACGGTAAATTACATTGTTCTTATTTACAGCGTGATATACATACAGATCGTTTCTCTATAAAAGTCGTTTCGCTGTACGTTTTCTGGTTTGTTTGCGTGTACATGTGATGCAAAACCGCTGTAACTTCGTTGAGATCGACCGATTTCCTGTTTCCTTAAGTGCTAATAGATCCGATCGCGGCTACCACGGATCTTGAATTTATTCGAAATCAATAGTTCCGTCGATCGCGCACGTTTCTTGATTTCTCTTTTTTTTCGCGTTTTCCTTTTTTCTGTTTTTGGTACATTTCCTTCATACGAAGCTAGTTGGTAGGGATTGTAATTAATCTAGGGAGATCGATCGATCGTCGATTCGTTTCGATCGTGTCGTTTTCGTTCGTGTGTGTCGTGTGCAGCTTCGATCATCGGATCGCTGTCATTTTTTTGTTTCTGTCAACTGACAATGAGTTCCGATCGAAAGTAATCTGAGCTGTGCTGCTGACCACTGGCGTTGTACGATGAGAAAAATATGGGTGACTTGATATATTGTGAAAATAAAAAAGTAAAGACAATCTGCTGGTCTTATTGTCTTTGCCAATATTTAATCCTTTTCAAGGCATATTTGACAAAGGAAGGTTAATCGAACAAGAAAATACTCGTTGTAAGTAGTGTACAGTTAAAAATAAATATTTTCAAAAATTAATTTTAACTCGTGACGCTTAATAATGCTTATGATTATTTTCTTAAACTTTAAGAAATGGCGATTTCATTAATTCTACAATAAGTTTTATTTCAGTTTCCTTTTCGAGTCACTCATATTTTCCCATCGTCCACGATGCTGTTCTTTCGATGAGAAAAAATGTTCCCAAAAATTCGTGATGTAAACAAAATTATCATCGAGGCGGCTAAGTTACCGGCGTCCTCTGTTATCACGAAGAACGCAACTATCCACGTAATAACGTCGATAACGCCGCCTACACGGTAAGAATGCATAACCAACAGAATACCTTGTACGTAACAAAGTACCCACAGCAGAGTTGGGCAACGATTACTTTCTGACCATAATATTTACTTTGTAATCAACCAAATTACTCTGTGATTACTTTCACCATTATTATTTCCAATTGTTAGATTAAAAACTACCTTTACAATCTGCAATTGTAAACCAGTAATTTGTAACCTTTCAGGGCTAACCGTATTAATCATTAATCGTGTATAATTAATTGCTATGTCTCAAGTATTCATTAATCGTTGATCATTAATTATGATAAACTATTCAGAAATTGTAATGATCGTGCCCAACACTGCCAAGGTCCGTTTTCTCGTAGATTAAGCAGCATCATTTTGGCGAACAGTCTTCATGATTATTCGACAACAAATCATGATTCGTAATCGTAAAGGAAGCACGATATAATTTTCAATTTATTGCTGTACATCGTTTTGTGCGGATATGTATTTCTCGAAGAGGCAAATTAATAAACGTTCTCCACCGCAATCGTGTGCGTGACTTTTCAGTGATTTAAATTATTGTATTCGCGTAGGATGTCGATATACCTTGGCAGACATTTATTGTTATTGTTATTACCGTTGAACAGGCAGTGTTATTATTTTTGTTCGTCCCACTATGCTGTTACGTTTCAATCTCTACGCTTGTGATCGCAACGATGCTTCGTAAATTAAATATTTTTACAAATTTAAAAAAAGAAAAGGTTTTGCAGCCTGAATTAATAAAATGGAAGTCATTGCGCGTATTAAGTATAATGAAAATATTTGTAGGCTATATAAATACTTTTTCACGAACAAGCATCCGTGTGAATTCATTAATTACATTAATTACAGACTTTCTTTTTTCACGGTGACAGCGATAAACAATCCCCTTTCCACTGGGACAATTTTCGCTTAAATTTATTTTACAATTAATCTTCGACGTGGCTTTTACATAAACACATGAATTTAGATTTAAGTTAAACAAAAGAACAAACGCCTTCGATCGTCTATTACTCATTCTTCGACCATTTCGACAACTCTTCAGCATTTGGCTCGATCATTCGGATATTAAGCTCTAGTGTACAATCGTAATCGTCCTTACAGTCTGAACGACGTTTCGGGTGGTCGCTTGCCAGTAATGGTCACGAGGCAGACCCTCTTCGCATAAAATATTTTCTTCTCCATTTACAATCAACGTGCTTATATCTTTTAACCCAGAGTCCAGCGTTATACAGTCGCGTCTCTCGATTGAAAACAATATTTCTGAATAACAACAGCTTCTTCAACAACAATAAGAATTCCCAATATCCACTTCCGGGCATTCGCAAGACAATTTTTCTACGCGAGAAACGCTTTCGCGTTTCTGACTCACCAAGTCCAACATTAATGTACATCCGCCCACGGTCTTGGCTTGCGTTAATCTATAGCTCAACAAGTCAAATAACATTCCTCGATAACCCTTTCTGCCAACTTTCATCAGTTTTACTCGCTTCGAACACTACCAGGCGACACTAGACAGGCTACCAGGTTCGTTAGGCAACAGTCTCATCCCTACTTCTAATCACTTTTCGACTCACCAGTCACCTACTCAGCAGAGTTGAGCATTCATTCTCTCAGTACTCACTCGCAATTGTCAGATCGATCAGCAATCACAAGGTACATTCGTCATACACAATCGACAAATTCTTAATCCCCCAAAGCTACCCAGGACTTCATTAATAATTACGAATAGAGATTTTTCATCAACAATCATCAACTACCCCTCGCCCAACACTGCTAACCAGACCCAACCTTACACTTGTCGAGCTACATACCTCGCGTCACATCCGTTATCACTACCGCCACAAAGTTCTCTCTCAAATTTCAGGACTCTTCTGACACGATTCTTCAGGATTCCTCGCGAATTGTAAACGAAAGTCTCTCCTCGAGCGTGGCTCCTCGCGCTGGGGACGAAGAAATCGCGTGAGAAGCGTCACAGGGTGCTCGTTTCCGGTACCAGGCCCGAGGACAACCTCGCTCGAGTCCCGATGGGAGCAAACGAATGATCGAAGTTGAAGATCGCGGCTCGAACGCAGTTCACAGCGGCTTCGTTCGTTGGGCGCGCTATAGAAAATCGGTCGCCACGATTAAAAGCAGTACTTCCGCGTACTCACTTCCGGTACCGGGCTCAAGGACGGGGGTCGTCCCTCGCGCGGGACAACCCTTTCCTCCTGTCAGCCGTAGTAACTTTTAGTGTTGAGACTCCGTGGATTCTCCTGACGTAAAATCGTGTGTAAACTATCTGTGCCGACCATGTGGTTGCCCAGATCCACCCTCACCCCCGTGGCTGGGGTGTGGAGGATGGGTGGTGGGTGCATCGAGGTGGGCGACAAAGGTATCCTTGTGTCCGCGTAATAACGGTCGCCGTGGAGTCTCTCGGCCAGCTGGGTCTCTGGAATCCTGGAAAAAAGAATTTTAGTTAGTGGAAAATGAATGTTTGGGCTGGGCTGGGCCAAAAAGGGACAATTTGCCTTTGCGTTGGATGATGTTTATTTTTTGTTTACATACTATAAGTCTTGTAATTCAGTCATATATCAGTCTTCGATATTTAATCCTACAGATGCCTGTGTAACTTTCAGATCACATACTAATATATATATATCGATATTTCGTCAAATAATTTCGTCGTTTTTTCATATGTATATTGATCGATTGCCATCTAGCGGTGAACAGGCCGAACTAATTTCTGTGTTTGGTCAGCGCCTCTATCGGGAAAACGCTCAAGTTTGTCCTCGAATAACTCTTTTTTTCACTACTAGATGGCGCCATTTACACTGTTTTTACCGACACTATCGGTACATTACCATCATGTCGGTAATTACCATCCATAAACGCCATCTAGCGGTGAAACAAAGAAACTATTGAGGACAAACTTGAGCGTTTTCCCGATAGAGGCGCTGACCATACTCCGAAAATTAGTTCCGCCTGTTCCATCGCTAGATGGCCATTGCCTTATACGTGGGAAAGCGCGCGCGTAAAGATTGTAATTTGATTTAGTTATGTGAAGAACATTAAAAATAATATCTTCAGACATTTATTAAATAACTATGAATACGGTCAGCCGTGTAACAATTTTATTTGCGTCTATTTGTAAAAAGAAATACTTTGAAGTTCTGATCAGTAATTCACTACCAATTAGAATTTTGGAATTTGATTTCTCTGGACAAGCATAGAAGATCTCAGAACCAAATGGAATTGAGACAACCAGTTAAATGTTCCAGAATGCATCCAGTAGTACTTTAAAATGGTAACGGTATTAAGAAACTGCTAATGGGATACTCAGATATTAATAAATTATTAAATAAAACACAAACCTCGTGTCTTGCATGGGAACTGGCACCGGTGAGGTGAGATCGATATCAGCGTCGATGTCTGAAATGTCATCGTTGAATCCATGCGGAAGTGGTTCGTTATTTGCATGAAACTTCGCATCCCTTTTGGCCCGATGACGGCTGACTAGAAGACGTCCGATCACCAAGCCCAAGAAGATTAAAATACCAACTGACACCGACACTATGATGTACAGGTAGAACTTTTCTTGATTCTCTGTATCAACGAGAGTAACAAGTGAAATTTACCACCTTTGCTACCTTCATTATTTTCTTATTAGTTAATATACACTACGAGCTAAGTTGAAACTCGGACATTCTGGAGTTCACGAGAGCGTCAAGTCGCATGCAAAACTACTGAAAACTTTTGCCACGGGATAAATGCAATGCCAAACACAGTGCTCGATTTTTTCGACTGCAGACCAGAGATGGGCAAAATTTGATTAGAATACTAAATAAATAATCGTGAGATTTATTTAATTTTATAGTTGAAGAGATAACTTTTTGTTTGTTCGATGTGATATACCACTTAGAATTTAATAACTCTACGATTTAAAATCATTTATCATTCTGTTCTGTAGAGTGTAGTTATTGAACGATTAAGTTCTTAAGTTCATTCACATAGTCTAAATTGAAGGTAGTTAATATTTTGTTAATCGGAAGTTTAATCTAGATAAGAATCTTGTCTATCACTGCAGCAGATCTTGATAACTCACGTTTCGAGCAATCGGATGCACCCTACTTCTCAACTATGCATTCCTTCGATTATATCTACGCAAAAAAAAAGAAAAAAAAATTGAATTGGCGTGGCTTTCAAACTCTGTCTCTACTACATCTACCTACATCTACGTATTCAACAAACTAGTTTACCAAGTATTTATTCACTTATAATAATAAACTCACAGGTCTTCTAAAAGTCCTTGGGAGAATTTACAAATTTAAAATGTGTTTGACACACATTCTGATTCACGTCAATGCATAATATATATCTTAAATTAAGTTCCCTCTTGCTACAAGTTAAAATTCATTTAGAACTTAGTTTCTAGAAAAACAGTTCAAGGAATTAGAATCAGACTATGAGTTGACTATCAGACTAACGTTTTTCAATAATTAACATATTGATTTAGAGACAATAAGTAAATAAACGAGCAGCATTACCAACTGACGAAATAACGGGGTTTCCTACTAACTTAACGTAAGTAAATTATATAATTTAAATAATATACCGAGTGTGGGTAATTTTTTCAGCAGTCAGGAAGAACGAAAACTCATTTTACTGACAATTTGCAACGCAGCGACCTTTGATTAAAAAGAGTCGAAACCAGGATGGAAAGTCCATTGAGCGTGTTACCAGCCGATAGAATGGGAGAAGGAGGAGGGAAAAGTGTAATACTTACTCGATATGAACGAATATGCATTGATCCATTCATTGATATATCCAACAACGACACGATCCTCTTCAGGATAGGCGTAGACTACTGTTGTGCAATTAATCGGCGACATCGTACTGGTGGAAATGTCCCTAGTAATATCGGCCACGTTGTTCTCGATCATTATCATCCCTTGAATAACCGTGGGCGTTATATCTTTCGCTCCTACACCGACCGATTTAAAGTTCTTCGATCGTGTGTCCACTGTGTAGGCGCGATAAACGAATGAATTCAGAGATCTGGTGAAGGAGAGAGTTCGTGTTCGAAAATAGCGATGGGAACGATATTCAACGCTCTATTAACTTTGGAGAATGTATTCACGTTTTTTTTTTGATTTATATTAATTATTTATGAGCGCTACAACCATTTTACAGGGTTTTTAGTGACTCATTCATTATTTCTTGCTAGTATTTTGAGTAAACTAAAAAAGGGAAAACTTTGATTGCCCTTTTACAAAGGTAATATTTTTTTAATTTCATTGATATTCTGTGCAAATGTTTGGAATTAACTTCTGAAAATGTATATATTATGTAGAGTGATCTACGTAATCTTTAAAAAGGTTTAGAGTAGTTTTCGAATTTTGTGGAAGGCTTATCCTTCCTCAAAAAACAAGAAAGTCTTTCGGTCTCAGATGTAAACTAAATAAATTTTATTTCGTTCACTTTATGTAATTTAAATGCAAGTTGATGGAATATGGCATAGTTTCGTCCTCTTTGACACTAGAAAATACTTCAAAGGGCTAATTGAGCTTAACTCGACTATAGAACTTGCCGAAGAACACATCAACGTCACAAAGTAAATTGTTCCCATCGCTACCGAGGTGTACGATCAGGTGAGTTGCGGTGAAATGAGATCGCAATGCGCGGACAGGTGCCAATATTTCACATTGACCATCCCCTGTTCGGTTATTTACAAAAAGCCAAAGTCGAGCTGATTATTTGATAGACGACAGAGATAAATTCGAGAAATTGACACTTCTATTTACAATTCGTTATTAGATGAAATTTACAGGAAATTCGTCGGAGAATTACGCGAGACGATAGCAGTATTCTTGTCAAGGCGACGGTGAATTATTTAGAGTTAGGTTATATACAGAGAATTGATAGCGAGAATGATAATCCACCACCAAATTGCAATCGTGTCGTTATTATACAGTTGCGATTAATGCGAGATACAGGGGTGCTGTGTGAAAGAAATAGAGGATATCCAAAGAGAAAATATTCACACAAGGGCTGATAATATATTTTTACTAACAATTGGACCATTTTCGAAACAAATTTTTAGAATTTAGAATGACCTGGAATTAATAATTACGGAGCGCCATTTTAGAGCCGATGTATCAATCGAAAATAATTTTACGCTTGTTATTACCACGTTTTTATTATTATTACAAATTGCAAATTTTATTATTATTATAACTAAAATAGTTAGAAATCAATTTAATTTCAGTTTGCTACTTCTGATTTAGGGTGTAGGTGAAATCTAACTTTCATAAAGACGTTTGGCTTGCGTTTGTGTTGTTCCTCAAACACGAAGCGTCATCGAGCGAGCTATTAACAGGTACCAGGGGTAAAATGTGGGTAAGTCTGCGGATAACCCGCGACATGTCGTTCACCCCGTGTTTTTTTCACGGATCGATGGCTTTGCGAAGGAGATACCGATACTACAGTAGTTTTCGACAGGTTTTCAGACCTCGAACAGCCCGAGGACGGATATTTTTCAGTGAGACGGTGCGCGGCCCTGGTTGAATGCCAATGGGAATGGAAATTCGAAGTTCGCGTATTATACATCAGCACGTTGCACGGAGCTTTGTCACTCATGCCGCAGGACTACGTGCGGTACGTGGCGAAATCGGTATGCATTGTGCCTCTCCAACACCGAACTTCCACGAAAATGTCCTTGCCACTTTTGGAGAACGCAAAATTTCACGCGATCCATTGTCGCGAGAGCAGCTAACTAACAATTACGCCATTTTGGGAATCTAGATTTACTTTATGTCGAAAGAAACTAATGACTTCATCATCGAGGCCCCACGATAATGTCTCTGTCAATCTCGGACGAAGCATAATGCAGGTAAAAATCGCGATGAAGTAGATCTATTTTATTGAAAAAAAAAAAAGAATAATTATTGCAATCGTAGTTTCTCTAAGGCTAAATTTGATTTTAGTTTTTCTAACAATAATTAGATACATTGCATTAGGTTCATTTTATTTCAAAACAGAATGATAATTGCAATTCTAGTTTCTTAATTAGTAATTATGATTTCAACTCGTCTAGTATTAATATTATCATTTTGGCTCCACTTAACGGTAATTTCATCATTCTAGTTCCTCTGTTAATAATTTCATTACTTTAGCTCCACCTAATAATAATTTCATGGTTTTAATTCCTCTATTAACAACGATACACTTTTAGCTTCAATAGTAGTAACAGTTTTATAATTTTAACTCCACTAATAACAATTTATTATTTTATAATTCTAGTGGTCCAATAACATATACATATACTTATTGTTAGTATTAAAACGTAAACTCACGACTCCAAAACGAAGATAAGAATGAATGTTCCTCTTTGGATTAAAAGGACCGAGGCACTCGATCGTGGTTCTTTACGAGAACGTTTCGATGGCACTGATTTACATGAACGGAACCGCTTCGTTGCGCAATTCTGCTGACGCGATGGAATTCTCATGGGAATCAGCACATTAGCTGATGCGAGATTTTGAACTGGCATCGACACCGCGACGAAATATAACATGGGTCGAGTGGAACTTTTCATTCAGGCTTAATTCCAAACATTTCTCAGTCTCCAATTCCCTTCTCAACCTCGGTGAAACGTGTCTCTTGGTTCTCACATTTTTTAAGAAGTAAACGAAGACTATATTTAATTATAAAAATAATAAGTAAATAAATATCTCAACAACTTCTATCATGAAATTTTCCTCTCGCTTTGTTCATTCTCGAAACTTTAGTAAAAAGAACATTAGAACACTGACTCTGTGATCGAATATTTTCTCTTAAATTTTTCATACGAACCGGCTGTTAAGGCAAGGTTCGCTGAACACAATTTCGGCCATGGGATCGCGTTATTTTCACCGATCCCCTATTTTCCTCTAAATTTCACCAAGATCCAAGCTTGCGGAGCAAAACACTGTTTCCCTGAAGCGGGACGATCAACTTTTAATTAAGTGCGGCCCGGCCGTGGACCGATTTCCCTGCCTCTTTTTCGGTGGCGTACGTTAAACGGATCGGTGCTCGATCTTCGCTGCGAAAATTCAACGAAACGACGGTGAACTCTCGGCAAACATTTAAAACGCGAACGCTATCAGCGCGTCTAGCGAATTTGCACAGCCGACCAGATAGTGTCATTCGAAGCGTGTTCACAAATATTTAGTTATGTAACCAACCACGAGCGATAATAAGCATCGGTTCTGCGGTTTTCGGATAATTATTCGACACAGTCATATTTTCCTCGACGAAATCCTACGGTCGTTCCGATTCCTTCGTTTCAAATCTTGATTTCACTGGGTCAGGAAATATATGTGGTGAGAATGCATACATTTTCTTGAACATGAGTATATCGATATGTGTTGATTTAAATTGGTATTTAAATTGGAGTTTTAGTATCGTCAGAAAATATAGAGAATTATCAACCCTTTTTTTTTGGTTTGAAGAAGAGTATTTTTCAAAGGACAAACTGTAATGGTTGAGTTGAAGAAATTGGAAATTTTACGAGTTATTAATTAGAACACGAATTGATTTGTCGGTTTAGAATAGTGACGAACTATTCCCATCTTCAACAGAAATGAACTATTTCCATTTACGAGTTCCAGAGTTCTGTAAGGGAGTTCAGTAATGTTTTACTCTATTAAAACAAAGCATTTATTCATGCTATTTCGAGAATTTAAATTCGGTAAGCTGCGGGAGGGACCCTGTGACATTCAGGTCGGTCGCCGATTTGGCTGAGACTTTGCACATAGTTCGCACTGTCCACGGAATGGTATCCTAAACACGTAGGGTATCGAACAGGGCTTGGAACGGTTGGAAAACTTTTTTAATAGCTTCCATTTAAACAGTTCGAATGGAGCTTTCTTGGAAATAATTTCCACGTTATTAAATTCTGACAGGAACAGAGAAATGAAAAATCTTGAGAGTAAACAGTTTCGATTGAATATAAATTATGATAAACAAAAATTGAAAAGTTCTGAGCATAGCATTGCATTTTCGTAAAGATTATTATTTAATAGTTCAAGACTTCAAAACAAACTTAAGCGTAGAATAGAATGTGCGGAAATATGCTATCTTGTAGAAAACAGTTTCATCTGCAATTGACTTAGTTTTAAGTATAGCCTTGATAGTTGCATAATCGTTTGTTCAATTAGAACAGTGTTCCTGTATTGTGTGATAGAAATGATACTGCACTATGGAAAAAGAGACGAGCCAAGTATAAATACGTATAATTAATATTCGTATTTCAGCCGTACAGCTGAACAATTTTCAAGAATGAAACGCAACGAATGGGAGGGAAATGGGGATACGAGAAATTGATAGAAGTAAACGTGTAACTTCCGATCCATTGAAGTTACAACAGTCGATTAATTCTCGGCTTGCTGAAGAACTCTGTTTACGCTTTCCAATGAGTTCGCTCGACCATGAAAGTTTAATCAATTGGGAGATTCGTTCCAGGTCTCTATTTGACGCTATTAAACAGTTTGCTAAATACGGAAACAATCGTGACACAGGCAAGAATATTCACCACGTTTCCGTTCCCGGGTCAGTCGAGACGTTTCTTCTCGTCGATTACAATACTATCTGTCAGAGCAATTGGAAAAATAAATGCTTCAAACAATGCCCGCATGCGATTTCCTATCGAACGTGCATTTCTCTACACATGCGATTAATCGACGGATCGCGATATATTTTTGTCAACTCGATATTTAGCGAAATCGCAGGATTTAACCGCGACATACATACACATATAAAAAATGAATATGACGTATCGGGACGACACGCAATTGCGGTGATTCAGATTCGTTTGTTTGTTGTCGAGCTATTTATGACCAAATATTTTTATCGCTGGATATTCAGTGAAATCCAACGCGATAAAATATTTTATTGAAATATTAAGTTCGCTAAATATTCGTCAAATGGTGTGCGTTGATAATCGTGCGTGTTTTCTGCCTGTCTGCACTGACACATGTTTGC